GGGTGTGCCATGCAGCTCCTGCGGGTGGGGGTCTTGCCTGGCCCGGTCAGCCTTGTGCCCCACCCCCTCAGGCATCTTCAACCCCAACTCCGAAGACCCCCTGCCCGGGCAGCTCAAGAAGCAGCTGGTGCTTCGGATCATCAGCGGGCAGCAGCTCCCCAAGCCGCGGGACTCGATGCTGGGGGACCGAGGGGAGGTAGGAGGGCTGCCTGGACGGGGGCCGGGAGGGGGCCGAGCAGCGGCCTGGCCCTGGTGCCACCCTGTCCTCTGCACAGATCATCGACCCCTTCGTGGAGGTGGAGGTCATCGGGCTCCCCGTGGACTGCAGCAAGGAGCAGACCCGCGTGGTGGATGACAATGGTGAGGGCCCGCGTGCAGGCACCCACGAGCCAGCCTGTGCCCAGAGCTGCTTCACAGCTGCCATGCTGGCAGTGCCAGTCTGCCTGGGAACAGAAGGGGGCCAGGGCCACTCCCTGTGACCTGAATAACCATCCAGGCTGTGCCCTTGGCTGGAAACCTGGTGACCGCCCCTTGGGCCCCAGGGGTTGCTCCCCTCAGCCAAGTGGAGGAGGGTGTGGGCCCAGGTAGCCTCCAGGCTACAGCTGGGGTGGGAGGTGACACCTCCTCCTGGTGGCCTCCAGGATTCAACCCCATGTGGGAGGAGACCCTGGTGTTCATGGTGCACATGCCCGAAATTGCCCTGGTGCGCTTCCTTGTCTGGGACCATGATCCCATCGGGCGAGACTTCATCGGCCAGAGGACACTGGCCTTCAGCAGCATGATGCCAGGTGGGCAGGGGGCCAGCAGGGTGGGGGAGGGTGGAGCCCCAGGCCCATGTCCCACAGAGACCAGCTTCTCCTGCAAAAGCCAGCATCCTTCACCCAGTGTCCCCCAAAGAGACCAGTGTCTCCCATAGAAACCAATGTCCCTGCAGGCCAGCTGAGGGACCCGGGGCAGGGTGGGGATCAGCCTCCTGTGAGTTGGCTTCTGCCATAGGTGGGCCTGAGGACACAGAGGGAGCTGAGGAGGGGGGAGAAAGGCTACGGACACTTAGTGGACAGGGGAGGGGAGGGGAGCTCAGGCTGGGAAACCCCACCCCCAGGAAGAGGGAGAGGCCTCTGTAGGCCAGACCATCACCGGCAAGCTTCCTGGAGGAGGCAGCATCCCCAGGACTGGGCTCATGGGTTGTATGCAGAACCTTGGGCCTTGGAGTGGAGTGTGGGGGTGGGGTGAGCTGTGACCCGGGCCGTTTCAGGCTATCGGCACGTGTATCTGGAGGGGATGGAAGAAGCCTCCATCTTTGTCCACGTGGCCATCAGTGACATCAGCGGTAAGGTGAGTGCCACCTGCAGGGCCACCTGCACCACCCCAGCCGTGACCCCAGGGCCAGGAGTTCTAGTGGTTTCCTCACTGGGCCTGTTCTCACCTGTGGAATGGGTGATGGGGACACCTGAGCTTTGTGTCCTGGGCGGCTCTGGGCACCAAGAGATGGATGTCCTGGCCTTTCCTGAGGCCCCTGGCTACCCTCCCATCTGTCTCCTGAGCCTCCCTTCTACTCCTCAGGGCCCCCGGCTCTCCTTCCCTCTTCGGGAGGCATCTGCCTGGCTTTGTCCCACTGTCTCCCACCCTACTCTCCTGCACATGTGCCTCTGCCCCCGGCCGGGTCTCCTTTCTTTTTCCCGGTCTGCAGAGCCCAGGGGTCCCAGGTCCCAGATTGGAGCCCAGGCAGGTGCACAGGGGGTCCCCCCAGGCCCCAGCACTAACCGCCTCTCTCCCGCCACGCTCCACGGGCCGAGCTGCCGGCCGGCCGGATGCGGGCTCCGCAGGCCTCCCAGCTCTCCGTCGTCTGTCGTCCGTCCGTCCGTCCGTCCGTCTGTCTGTCCTGTGTCTGCGGTCTCCACGAGCTCCGCGCCCCGCTGTCCGGCCTCACAGCCTTCACTCTGTCTCTTTGGTCTTGCAGTGGGCTCTCTATGTCCCAAGTCTGCCTTTAGAAGCTCAGCCCTGTTAGGAGCTCGCAGGTATCCCCAGCGCAGGGCACGTAGCCTGCCACCCACCCGCATGCTCAGGCCGGCCCATTAGCATCCGTGACTCCCAGTACCACTGCGGAGACTGTCCGCTCATGTGACATGGATCGTGATGTTGTTCTGGGGTCCTGGGTCCCTCGGGCCATCCTCAGCCACAGAGCAGCATTTAGGAAGCAGGTCCAGGACTTTGGCCAGGCCTCCCGTGCACCCTCCCCACCTCCTGTGTCCTATCTCCAGCTGCAAGCTCCCCCAGGGCCCCTCACCCTTCCCCCTGCCTCCCTCTCTGCACTCCTCGTGTGCCCCTGACTCCGTCCATCCATGCCCCTGATGCCCAGTACCGGGTGGGGGGGTCCCAGGGACCAGGAGCTCGGAGCCTGTGTCCTGGACCTTCTTCTAAATGACTCCAGCCAACCTCGGCCAAATGGCTCTGCATTTGGGACCTTGAATCTGGAAGCCAATTCAAGTGCTGGCCACTCTCCCGCCTCTGTCCAAAGTGCCCCTGTGTCACTGGGGGGCAGTGGCTGCTGTTGGGGTGTCTGCATGTGAGGACCCTTCTGAGCTGTAGCTGCTGGCCTCTAGTACTTGCCAGCTGGTCCCGGGGACCCGCAGGGAGGCTTCCGGGAGAGGCCTTGCAGGGACCTTCTGGGCCTGGCTGTCCAGGAAGGCCCTGGGCCAGTAGCAGTTCAGGGGGCATGGAACTGGCGTGAACCCTGCCCTCGGGCCATATGCACAGAAAGGAGGGTGAGGCTGGGAAAGACTGCCTGGCAGGAATCAGGGAAGACTTTCTGGAAGAAGAAGCACCTCCAGGGCAGTGGGCAGGGCGGGGGCATGGAGGGCAGACCGTTGGCCTGCACCTGGCTGCGCTTGCTTCCCGGGCCTGCAGTGCTGGGGGCGGGGCCACGTGCCCTGGCGGTGGTGCCCGCTTCCATCTGGGTCTCAGTCTGTCTTCTCTCCACGCCAGCACCACCCTGCGGGCACCACCTGCCAGAGTCGGGCCCATGGGGCCTGGGACAGGTGCACAGTGTGGTGGCACAGGGTCCAGGTTCCGAGGTCTCTGCTTGGGAAAACCCTGGGGGGTCCTGTCTGCCCTAAGACCTACAGACCCTCCAGAGCACCTGCTGGCTCCACCCTGCGCAGACAGGGCACAACCCTGGCCGGTGGTGAGACCACAGCAGCCTCTGTTTCTGGTAGAGGTGTCCTGGAGACCGTCTCGGTGCACACAGCCCTGAGAGGCCCAACCCCGGCATGCCTATGGGGCTCTCAGCTAGCCCACCCCTGGGGCTGCAGCCAGCTCAGCTAGGTCACGGCCTGCCAGAGTCAGCTGGGCTGGGCAGGGCAGTCCCTGGCCCCCAGTGCCTGGCCCCCAGTGATGTGGGCTGCTTCTCTTGCAGGTCAAGCAGGCTCTAGGCCTAAAAGGCCTGTTCCTCCGAGGCCCAAAGCCCGGCTCCCTGGACAGTCATGCTGCTGGGCGGCCCCCTCCCCGGCCCTCTGTTAGCCAACGGCTCCTGAGGCGCACGGCCAGCGCCCCGGCCAAGAGCCAGAAGCCAGGCCACAAGGCCTTCCCGGAGCTGGTCCTGGGCACACAGGATGCGGGCTCCGAGGGGGAGGCCCTTGACGTGGCACCCCCCAGCCCTCGGCCAGCTCCGGAGGCCCCAGCCCGGGAGGAGCCCGGAGGCCGCAGCCCCCGAGGTAAGGTGTTGGTGGAGAGGAGCCCTGGGCAGGGGCGGCCCCTGCGTGCCCCCGAGGGCCCTGGGCCTGCCGGGATGGCTGCCGCCTGCATGAAGTGCGTGGTGGGCACCTGCTCCGGTGAGGATGCCGAGGGCCTGCGGAAGGGGCGGCCACCCAGCCCAGGGCCCTCCGGCGGGCACGTGACCATCAGCCAGCAGCCCCGTGCCCGGGCAGAATTGCTGGGGGCCCCCCACGAGGCCCCAGGCAGAAGCAGCAGAGGGGCCCCTGAGGGTCCAGGTGGCGGCTGCTCCGTGTCCTCCTACGCCGGCAGCCCGGGCAGCCCCGAGGTGGCCCTGCACTGGCCTGAGGGTGCCCGCAGGCAGGCGGGGCCCCTGCAGAGGGAGATGAATGCCTTGTTCGTTCAAAAGCTGGAGGAGATTAGGAGTAAATCCCCCATGCTGTTCACCGGTAAGACCAGGAGCTCCTCCAGCGTCCCCGTGGCATCCCAGCCCCTCCGCATGGCCTGCCCGGTGTCCCCGCTGTGCTTCCATGTCCAGAACCAGCGTCTCGTGTGCTCGGCGCCTGCATTTCCCTTTGCTCCGTCGGCTTGTCCTGCGGGCCCCCAGCCTCCAGCTCCTGCCTGACCGAGACTGACCCCCGGGCCTCCTGCTCTTGGAGGCCCCTCCCTCCCCGAGGGCCTGGGGAAGGGAGAGCAGGTCCTGCCGCAGCTGCCCTCACCCCGGAGTATCCCACCCTGGGTGGGGACTGAAGCCAGGCTGTGCTCCCTGAGGCCTGCAGTCTGGAGCGAGGCTGTCGGAAACCAGCCGACCCCTTCTAGCCCTCCCTGGCCTGGCTGCTCCTGCCGGTCTTCCTAGGATCTGGGGGCACTGTCCAGCTCCCCCTGGCCTCCCTCCATGGCCAGGCTGCAGGTGTCCAGGCCCCTGGCCCTGCACCACAGTCCTCCTGGAAGGTGGCCCGATGCCCCCAGACTCCTGGCTGGTGCCCAGAGCCCTGACGTTGGGGCTCGGAGTCTGCAGATTACATGCGCACCTCGGCCCTGGGGATTCATGTATGGCCTGAATTTGCGCTGAGCGGCCCTGCTCCGGAGCCCCGTCCGGGGCTGGTGACAGAGCACTTTGTCATGGGGGGGAGGACCCCAGCCAGGGGGAGGGGTGGAAGGTGAGGTCCTGCTCCCCTCCCCGCACCTGCCCTTGCTGTCCGTCTGTCCACCGGCCAGCCTCCCCCCTTGCTGACCATTCTGTTCTTCTTTCTGTCCCCATGCTGCCTCCGTAGTTAGGGACTGAGAGCAGCCACGTGCCAGGTAACGCGCCTGGCCCCCCGTGGTCCCTGTGCTGCCCCGGCCCCGAGAACCTGGCGGCAGCAGAGCGGAGCTCAGGATGCAGGGCCACTGTGCCCTGGGCAGGGGCCTGGTCGCCGGGGGGTCCTGCAGGCACGGGGCCCTGGGCCCCACCCCGACGCACGCCTCTCCCTCTCCCCCACAGACACCCGCTCCCCCATGCAGAGGTCCGTCTCCTCCCTGTGCAGCCTGGAAACCATCGCGGAGGAGCCAGCCCTGGGCCCCGGCCCCCCACCTCCGCTGGCCACCCCGCCCAGCCCCTCCCAGGGAGGGCCCTGGTGCTCCACAAGCCCAGGAGCCAAAGCAGAGCGCCCCCCAGGGGCGGCTCTGGGAGCCTCCGTGCCCCTCCGGCTCAGGACTGGGAGCCAGGGCAACATGGAACTGGCCCCCAACAGCAGGCAGCAGGCGTGCAAGGGTGGGGGCCCCAGTGGGGCCAGTGAGGGGGTTCCCAGCAGCCAGATGGACAGCAGGGGCCACCCCCAGGCCCTGGGCCAGCTGCCCTTGGTCAGAAGGGCCAAAAGTGAGGGGCAGGTGCCCTCGGAGCCCCTGGGTGGAGGACGGCCCCTGGCCGGGCCCTCCCCTGCGCTGTACTCGGACGCCACGGGCGGAGACCGGCTATGGCAGCGGCTGGAGCCAGGCAGCCACCCGGACAGCATGTCCTCATTCTCCAGCCTGTCGTCCAGTGACACGGTCATCGACCTCTCGCTGCCAGGTCTGGGCCTGGGCCTGGGCCTGGGTCGGGAGAGCCCCTCGGGGGTCCCGGCTGGACGCCTGCCCCTGCGGCCCTGCTCGGCCTCAGCTGGCCACCCGGATTTCCTCTCTGTGACCAAGAGCAAATCCAACCCCAACCTGCGGGCCGCAGGCCAGTTCCCTGCAGCCCCGGATGAGCTTCGGCCGCGGCCCCTGGCCCCTCAGCCGCCCTGGGGCTGCCTCCCCCTGGCAGGCCTCAGGGACTGCCCCGGGTCAGCCAAGTCCAAGAGCCTAGGGGACCTGACCGCTGACGACTTTGCCCCCCGCGTCGAGGGCCTGGGGAGAAGCCTGGGGTGCTGCCTGGGCCCAGCTGGGGAGGGGCCGGCGGGGCGGGTGGCACAGCGGGACCCCCTGACGGAGCAGCTGCGCTGGCTCACAGGGTTCCAGCAGGCGGGAGACATCACATCACCCACCAGCCTGGGCCCAGCCGGGGAGGTGGCAGCGGGGGGCTCTGGCTTCCTGCGCCGCTCCTCCCGCAGCCAGAGCCGGGTGCGCGCCATCGCCAGCCGAGCCCGCCAGGCCCAAGAGCGGCAGCAGCGGCGGCAGGGCCCTCGGGGACTCCCGGAGGAGGAGCGGGGCACCCCTGAGGGCGCCTGCTCTGTGGGCCAGGAGGGCTTCGGGGATGCGCCAGCCCCTAAGAGCGCCCCCGGCCTCCTGCTCAGACTCTGACCCAGCGGCCAACGCGGCTTCAGCCGTCCTCCCCGCGCCCAGCGGCCGGGGGCCCCGTGTTTGCGCAGGACATGGAGTGCGCTGGCCCCTGAAGCTGTGTGCCCCTTGGTGCCCCTTTTCTCTGCCCCCGGCCTCTTCTGGGAGGAAGGAAGTCCCGTCCCCCCCTCCCCCCCGCCGCCGGCAAAGTTTTCACAACGTTTTAAGATTATACATAGAGAGATATTTAAATTTTTAGAGACAAAGCTTCTACTACATTAAAATGGTGCCGAGTCCTCGCATTTCCCTGGTCTTTAGCCATGTGGGTGCGTGTGGGTGCGGGTAGGTGCATGCGGGTGGGTCGGCCCTGTCCCGCCGTGGGTGCCCTGAGCTGCCCAGCTGTGTTTGGCTTGTTCTGCACGAACCTGCTTTATACGGACATTCTAGACTGTAAATCCCAAGCATGACTCCAATAAACAGCTTCAAGCTGGCTCTGTGTGGGACCAACCGACCGCCTGCCTGCAGCCCCCTCCGTGGCCTTGAACTCAATGTTCCTGGGTCTGCAAGGCCCAGAGGGAGCCCCTGACCTCTGCCCACAGAGAACTTAGCTGGACTGGCCCCCGGGGCAGGGTCACAGAGCCCGCATACACCCCTGCTCTTTCCCACCCCCACCCTTGGGGCAGACCCTGG